CTGGGATAGTGGAAGGTATCCTTGCCCATGGCAGCAGATTGGATCCAGATAATCTTTATGTGCCCTTCCAAGACTCAAAATGAGTCTTCTATGAGTTTGTAATCATTCATTCACTACTAAACAGGACTCATTTTCATCCACTTCTAAAAGTCCAGAAATATTGGAAAACAAGTTGGTTGTCACAAGCAGAAATGACCAGAAGACGTGTGATAGACCCAAGTGTGTTTGAAGGAAGTCGTTGAGTCCTGTGGTTTATTTTTTCCCTGATAACCTGGGACTGGCATCTTAAAGTGGTTTCAAGTCAGATAAGGGACAAAGCTGATAAGAAGCAGATCTGGCAGTCCAATCTCATTCTCAAGGCAGGCCAAGCTGGAGGTAGCTGAGCAACTGCAAGGAAATGGAAAAACCTCTTGTGACTGCAGCACTGCAAAAAGGGGCATTGCACCTTTAGCACCTCCAAGCTGATTCCTTTCTCTTTTGGGCTTCCCATGTATTTCACATGTTTCCTGTGGAGGGGAGGGCATTTCTGGCTATTGCCAGGGATCAAGGAGAGCCCTCAGAGCAGACAGAGGTGGGACTCATGGGATCTCTGGAGTACCTCATGGGGCTCCCTCTGACTTGCTCATCCACCTCTTGATGCCTACTGGGTCTTGAGACCACTCTCATCCTCACCACTGCTCATCCCATGCTCCACTGCCCCTGCTTTCCAGGCTCTTGAACCATTGGCTCCTTGACCACCCCCATGAGTCCCACCTCCATCAGCTCCCTGGGCGCTCCCCAGGACCTTTATCCCTGTCACTACCCAGAAATGCTCTAACCCTCCACGGCAAGCATGTCAAATACACAGGAAGCCCAAAACCTTCTGCTCAATTTTTTTCTTTTACCTCTTTTTTTTTGCTCAAAAAGCAAGATAATACCCCTTGCTTTCAAACCTTTTTAGATATCTAAGATACAGAGTTTACCCAGACACTTGCAAAGACACCAAGTCTTTGTGGGTAGCCTTAGTCATCAAATTCCACCTGCATATAAGCCACCATGGAATGGACAGAGAAAAGTCACTTCTCCTAGCATTTACTCTCTGAGGGACAGAGGCAGTGCAACCTGTTTACTTCCACCTCAGAAATCACTGGTTCAGCCTTCTTGAGCTTGCAGGTTTATCTATCATATTTGTATCACACAGTTTCCTTTACTTTGGCCTTTGGGTCTTGCCTGGGGAAAAATGTTACCTCATATGAAAAAGAAAGGATGTTTTTCTTTAAAACATCTAATCATTTCAGATACATAAAGTGAGGAATATATCTGAATGAGACTGAGACAGTTTAAGGCAGATGGTTTTCTCCAGTGTTTTCTGTTGTCTTAAAATGGCTTATCTGGGGGAAATGTAAATCATGTAGGACCTGGATCTCCCACCTCTTTTGGCAGGGCAAAGTAATAGCAGTCACTGGGGAAATAAAACCTGGGACAAGGGATGGAAACCTTTAGGTCTGGAGGACAGTGTGTAGCTGCATTCCATCTACACAGCCTGGAGCTCAGTCAGGACTCCTCCTCCCTTGGGCCATGGAAGGGTTGGGAGGAAGCTGAACCTGCATTCCCAAGGTACTGCACTGCTGCTGAACAAGGTTGGCATTGCCTGGACTTCTTGAGCCTCTGATGTAAAACCCCTCAAATCCACCAGCACAGCAGAACCACCCGTCTGGCACTTCAGACAGGTCAGGCTGATCCTGAATGTGTTTTCTCTCTTAATTCCCTTTCACTAAATTAATCTGCCTCCTTGGAAGGTTCTTTGCATTAGGAAGCATTGTGAGGCTGTGAGTTTAGAATGAATCATCAATTAGCAGTTCCGTGGGAATCATTTCAAGTGAAATCAGACTTTGTTTGTTCAAGTAGTTGGTGCTTTCAGAGGGAACCTGAATGTGACCTGGATTGTCCAAAGCAGCTCATGTTGTAGTGGCCTTAGAACACAGCTGATGTTTACACAGACATTACTAATAATCTGTATAGTTTTTCTGCTCTCCATTGTTGGCAAAATCCTGGCAAGAATACTCTTGAACAGACTAATACCCACTATAG